AGTACTTAGAGGAAGCTGGTCCTCCAAGGAGTACACGAGTTAGTAGCAAGCGCTCACGTGCTACGGAGCCTCTGCTTTAATGCAAGCATCCGTGAAGCTAGGCATCTTCTTGCCTGCACCTGCAGCAACCCTGTCGTATCATGCGATCAGCACCCCGATATTCCCTCTGCGCAGGCCATCAACGGGGCTATCGCGACCCGCAAAGCTGGCCCGCCAGGTCTAGTGGTGGTGAGGTTGCCGGCTCCCACCGTGGAGCTGTGTGTTGAGTTCGAGTGCGTCGGTGAGATGTTGGAAGTGCACATAGTGAACAGTGCTTGTCAGCCCCTATGGACACTCTATGCTGGAAACAAAAGTTGAGTTGAGGGGCGACTTGAGTATTTCGGGGACAGGACTGAAGATTGGCGATGCTTTACCCGTATTCCAAGCATGGTCCGAGAGCGACGCTTGGAGCCCTGGGTGTTGTCAGGACACCGTGGGGGTCGACTTTTGGAGATTGTGCCATGATGTTTCTGAGAACCTCTATCTAGACACCTTCGCTTTGTTAGAGACCAGGACACCGATCCGGAACTCATCTCGGATATGGTGAGATGTCGGGAAACCCTGATGATGCGGACGACGGGGGAGGTGTTCTGACCCCAGGAGAGAGGGAGTAGCTTATCCTCGAAAACATGACATTCCCAGGGGCCCCGGCTAATGAGTCCGAGAGGAGAGCAGCATGGCGAGCTTTGCCTCAGCGGATTAGGGTTGCAATCCGTCGGTTGCATCGTGCCTTTGGGCATCTGTCCGGAGCAGTAATGAATCAAGTCCACAAACAAGCTAGAGGATCGAAGGAGTTTATCCAAGCCGCCAAACTTTACAGGTGCAAGGCTTGCTTGGACACCGCCCCAGTTCCGAGTTACCATGGTTTCGGGAGAGTCTTTGTATCCCAAAGAAATCAACCACACAGTTGGCATTGACTGCTTGGAGATTAAAGACAGACTCATTGGGGAATCGCTACACAGCCGTCAACATAGTTGACGTAGGAACAGGCTTTCAGCAGGTAGCCACTGCTACGTCTGGAGCCTGGAGGGGGTAACCCTAGCGCGCGTCAGTCCGTGATAGTGCGTGAAGGCGTTTACCGAGCGCCGCCGAGCGCTGGACTTCAGGGGCAGGCTACCCATTGAATGAGTGACGGACCGAGGCAGGCACTTTAGGCGTGATTTTGCACGTTACCTTGCTCCGCATGGTATGCGCCACCACAATGCGCCTCTAGAATCGACCCAGACTATTGGAAAAGTTGAGAGGCACGGCAGTATCCTCAAGGCGATACTACGCACAACGGTCCAAGAGTCACAGCCCTCGAATATTGAGGAGATGGAAACCGTTCTGTCAGAATGCATTACCACGAAGAGCGAACTGTGGAGGCACCCGGGTTTCAACCCTTTGCAGCATGTGTTAGGAAAGCAACCACGTGTCTCCAGTTCGATTACGGATGAAGCTGCGAGCTTTGGTACATACCAAGTTCGTGATGAGACCAGCCCATTTTACCTGCGCCATAAGGCCAGGCTAGAAGCAAGAGGCTTTCGTTCATCTAGAAACGCAAGGTTGCAGAGGCGCTGCAGCGAAGCGCTGCCCCTATCGATGCCGAATACAACGTTGGTGGTTTGGTTATTTATCGGCGGGAGGTCCACTGTCAGCCGCATTGGACGTGAGGCCGAAAATGCTTACTGGCTCTTTCATGAAAACATCCTTGTTTTAGTCGACGCCAGGAAAATGAGGCCGGCTGATGAGGTGGGGGTCGCAGCCCACTACCTAAAGCTGTAGTGAATGGCCCAGAAAACAAAGGTATGCCGTCGAACGTGGGATAGATCCAGTGACGTCACCGGCTACGCCGAGGCCTATCACAGCTGCAGCACGTGGTACACCGATACCGAGTACTCCAGTGGCTCCGAGTCGACGCCAGGGACACCGATCCCTCAGACCCCATCAAGACGGGCTTTCGTCAGAGATAAGACGGGCGACCCATCCCGGTCGAGGTCTACACAACACGGTTTGGCCGGAATAAACGATAGCATCTTTGAGCATCATGTCCCAACCGATCCCGTCGAGGAAATGGCGCATGAGCTTTTAAGCGATCAAGGTTTTACCCAAGCAGCCTGTTTGGAATTGCTTCAAGTCTACGCCAAGTATCAACATGGTGTCTAGAAGTGGCCCTTGTTTGGAAGAGAAAACCGAAACGTTCTAGCAGCGATCCGTGGCGTGTATCGCCACGGTGGCCAAGTGGGCGTGAGCGGCGAAACTTGGTCTCGACCAAGATTAACTCAGTACCTCAACGAATTCTTTAGGGATCGCCGTACCGCTGCGGGTTATTCGGGTACCCTTAGCATGATGATTACGCGACTCATGTGGGCTCAAGTCCCCTACGACCCTACGACAAAAAGGAATCACCATGGTTGACGTAACGGAGTATAGCTGTTGGTAGCTGTGATACCAGAAACTTCACCGCTGTCATGCAGCATGCGTTGGCAAATTGCTACATTTTTGGACTTTGCAGAGATGATTGCTAGTGCACTGCCATCGTCGGGTTTTCACATGAACCTGTCCAGGTGTTGTTTCTTAAGTTAATGCCAACAAGCTTTTGCCTTGCTTGGGCATACATGACGGAAGCAAAGTTTCTCGGTGCTTGCTTTGCCGTACGCGGCGGGGTACTTCTTTGACAGAGAATGTATTTAGCACAATTACACGCCAGGCGAATAGTTTGTTCTCGAGCTGCAGTCGCAAAGCGTCCTTGCAAGACTGGGAGCCGTGTGTTGAAGGAAGTGAATGAATGAATGAATCAATGAATGAATGAATGAATGAGTGAGTGAATGAGTGAATGAGTGAATGAGTGAATGAGTGAATGAGTGAATGAGTGAATGAGTGAATGAGTGAATGAATGAATGAATGAATGAATGAATGAACGATGGATTGAGATGAATGAAGTGCATGACATGAATGAAATGAATGAATTGATGAGAAATGAATGAAATGAACGAAATGAATGAAATGAATGAGATGAATGCAATGAATGCAATGAATGCAATAATGCATGAATGAATGAATGGAATGGAATTGAAATGCATGAAATGAAATGAATGAAAGAATTTACTGAATGAATGAATGAGTGAGTGACTGAGTGAGTGAATGAATGAATGAAATGAAATGAAATGCAATAAACTGAAGTGAAGTGAAATCCATGAATGAATGAATGAATGAATGAATGAATGAATGAGTGAATGAGTGAATGAGTGAATGAGTGAATGAGTGAATGAGTGAATGAGATGAATGAATGAATGAAAGCATGCATGCATGCATTATTGGAAGGACGGATGGATGGATGAATGAATTGCACAATTACTGTTCGTTGTATTTTTATTATGATCATTCTTGTTATTATTAGTCTTATTATTTACCGTCAACTTACTGTAACTATTATATAGTCTTATGACTTTCGACGCCAAAACCAGCAAAACACCAAAATCAACCCGTCCGGAGACCTGAAACAGGACCAAAGGAATCGGTTGTATTGTTTCTTGATCCTGATTTTTTCATCCACGTCCCTCTCCCTCCATCAAATGCGATTCGGGTGTTCTGTTTGGACATCAAAGGCTCGGGTGGGCACATTTGTTGGTGAGCCCCTGCTATTGCACAGCCAGCAGACTGTGCTGTCTTCAGGGCATCAGCTGAGCTTTTCTTTGCGAAAACATAAACTGAAACGGTGAAAGAAAAAGCATGGACAAATGCAGGAGCATCGAGCAACGCGCCCCTCACAAACAGTCTTCCCAATCAATGCGAGCTCGTCCTGCAAAGCACGTTGTGAAAGCGAGCTTCATGGCATCGGATCCATGTGCAGGTCTGACCAGCCGGTGTGACTTTCCCAGTTCTGGTACATGTTAAAGTTGAGGAGCGAATCTGGTCGGCATTGTTTCGTTTGTTCCGTCGTGAGCCTGAGGCCAGCCTGCATCATTCCAGGAAGGTGCTCCTTTGAGGCTGGTTCCCCGGCTCTTTCTGTATGCTCCTGGGTACTGAGCCATCGAAAAGAACACGCAATCAAGGTAGCCTGGCCCACAGTGTGGTTTTGTGTCAGCCGACTTTGTGAGAACAGACCCAGCCACAGTTGGAGGGAAGCCAGGGATGCGCAACACAAACGGTTCGGAACGCTGTTCGGCACTGACCAGGCAATTCTACCGGTACTACCATCTACGGACGATGACCAACTGATAGTGATCAATCCCCTTGATTTGTGGTGCCTCACTTCAGAGTTTGTTAAATTGCTCGAAACTCGTGTGCTGGCTGAACACACAGCTTTGATGAGCTTTTGTCCCTATGTTGCTGTGGGCACTTCGAACTTGCACAGTTCCCTGCGGCTGCTTGCAGAACCCTTGAGTTGGTGCGCAAACTGCTCGGGGAGCTCTGGAAAGGAAGCAGGGTGGAGCGCTCTAGACGTAGGGGCGGGAAGGGCTGCGATAGTGACGGGACCCGCGGAATCCCGAAGTCCGCTGTCAGGAGATGAAGCAATTAAGCTGTTATTTTTCTGCGTCTTTGCAGGTGGCATCTGCTCGAAGCTTCGCCATTGCAGGGAAGCTTCCTCGGTCAGACTTGTTCGGGGCATGGCATACTGAGAGCCAGCTGCTGAGGTCCTTCTACTTGCTTGTGGGCACAGGTTCGAGGAGTACAGCAGAGGCCTTCTTGGGAATTTGTGGTCCTTTAGAACTTTAGAGCCTTGGAGCAGCATCACATGGACCAGCACATGAGCTCTGCAGATCGGATGGTTGGACCTTGCCGCGCTGCTCGAGCTCGGTGCAAGCTCTGGTGTTGACCTGGTGCTTCCATATTCTGGCCGAATCCTCGGGGAATCGCAATCGATGCAACAATCGTGCATCTTGGCACCTCCTAGCAGTCATAAGCATCTCCGGAACATGCACTGCCTGGAGGGTAAACTGAGGATGATGAAGGAGAGTGCGTGTGCGTGGTCGCTGCAGGACATACGCGCTGCTGCAGCCAGAGTGCAGGTGGACATGAATCCGGGCTCAGCTCTTGCAGCCAGGGATCGTCAATGGTAATAGAGTCCAGGATCATGCCGCTTTTTTCGAAATCGACCTTGGCGGTCTTATCTGCATGGCTGCTGCATGCATAGTGGCTATGCGCGGGGCAAATCCATGGAGCCCCGAAGAAGCAAACATAGTAGCCCAGCAGGCAGCTGGTAATCCTGCGCAGGTGGCGACGCGTATTTTGTCAGCGGCACGTCTCTCCGCTACTACAAGGCTGGGTTTGTGCGGTCTGGTCCTGCCAGGCTTCAGAGGGGTCCAAGACACGCCGCGACGTAAGGCGGATCGGATCCCTCCTTCTCAGGTCTCCACTGGAAGAACAGCTTCCATTGCCGTAACTACTGCGTCTGAGGCATGGGTAGGGCTTGTTCAGCGTTCATTTTGTCGCCATCTGCTTCCAGGATTGGCAGCTGCTGGCGATTCTGGATGCTTCTGCCTTGGTGGAAAGGAGGCAACGACAAGAGAAACCGGTTTGGATCTTCCAGTGCAGGAGCGCTCGTCTGGAAATGCAAATGGCCATTTGCTTCTGCTGGTGCGCGAGGCACACTCAGCTTATGGGGTGAGAACTTGTGAACATCTTGTGAACTTGTTCTCCATCTTCTTCTAACATTTCTAACCCCCCTGCAGCCTTCCCCGGCCTTAGTCATAGTCCGGCTTCGGTCCTTTCCAAATCGCAGGCTCCGTGCCTCCAGTTCGAAAGGGGGCGTACTGCATCCACGTTATCTACTTTGCAGCCTAAAGCTGGAGGCTTCTCTGAATGTGGTTTGGTTGATCAAAACTGAGGCGGGTTGCACCGTCTGCTTTGCATGGTCTCGGGCTCTGGCTCAATCTCTCGTATTGGGCTGCAGGGCGATCTGCTGGCACGGATCCCGGATGCCGTGTACGCGTGCTTTAGCGGAGCTCGAGTGGCCTGGCTTAGCAGGACGGGACTGGGTGAGGGCGGTGAGGGTCCTTCGACACTTGCCCTGGTTTAACTTGAACATGTTGCTGCAGTTTTTTGTGGCACACGCGGCATCTGCCAACCTGGCAGGAAGGATTCGAAGACTTGGTTTTGCTGCGCGGAAGTTGAATCCGCAAGAGCTGGAGAGTGCCTGAATGCAGTTTCATGTGTGGAAGCAGATGGAGTGGAGCGCTTGTCCGCAGCTTAGCTTGGACCTCCTTTGTATTCCTTTGTATTGATGTTGACATCCACTACCTCTTGGATTTGCTTTGCATGTAGCGACTGTTGCAAGGCTTTGCTGCCTTGGTTCCGACACACTGCGCGCAGCTATGCGCAGTGGCAGCCCGCAGCACACAGACAGCACTGGTCACTAGAGCCCCTTGACAAGGCTGTTTTGGGGAAGTCGCCTCTTGGGCGGCCCGCTGCTGCTTGCGAATGCCCTGGGCAGAAGCTTTCAGGCTTTGCATTTCGTGTGGCACACGGCGAGCCGCGGCAGGCCAGCTCAGGCTCGGGCCCTGTGTTGCCAACTTCGGGACCCTTGCAGCTCGTCGACCATCGATGGGCTTCTTGGCACTGTAAATTCCAAGCTGCGTGTGACAGTTTCATGTGCAATCGTGCAATCCAGGATGGGCCTTTCAAGCCTTCAGGCCGGGAATCACTATTCTTGCCCGAAGACACTGGCCTCGCAGTTCATTCTTGGTGGTACACTGTTCTGAACACATTCCAACAAGCAACTGGAAGCAAGCACGACTGGTGTCCAAGGATTGTTGGTACGCTCAGGTTAAGTGTGTGTTTGTTCGAGTTTGGGTAACTTTCTTTTGCTTCACTTTTGGTTCCAAAAGCTTAAAGAGCCAATCAGCTGGTTCCGAGCGTGGGTGCTTGCTGCACCCAGGGAAGCAGACAACAAAACGAATCCGGGAGTTCTCCAGGCCCAAATGACGAGGTCATTAACTTGGCATACAGCATGGCCATTGCTACCGTTGTGGTTGCAGCCGCTGCGAGTCAGCAGCGGAGGTAGCAGGGCAGTGTTTCCGCTGTCGCTTCTGGCTTATCCTTCTTCGTGTGGGTGTTCTACCCTTTCTGAACTGCGGGGTCCCGGGCCTTCCAGGTGCCTCACGGTTACTGTAGGCATTGAATGTATGTGGTAGGGTTTTCTTCACGTGCAGAATGAGCAGTCTTCTTGTTTGCGGAACTGTCTGGATGGAGAGTCGAGCACAAAACCAATTTTGCAAGATGCATCAGCACAAAGGGCCAGAGTTAAGCGGCTGATGTCCTGGAGGCTGGGAACAGGTTCAGGCGTCGGTCTGCTCGGTGTTTTGTGATCCCACTGGGATAGGTTTTTGATGGTGATGCAGGCCCGAAAATCTGTAATCGGGACGTCCGACGGCTCGAGATTATGTGATGAGGGTACCGTGTGGCTATCTTCTTCAAAAATCTGCTATCTTTCGTGAACTCACCAATCGTAGACGCAGCGCTGAATCTGCGATCGGGGTGGGGGGCCGCCTCCCAGCAGCTCAGTCTCCAAACACGATTTGTTTGCACGGCCGCAGCAGAGCTTTGTCACAGTGCTCAAGCTTGTGTAGGTATTCAAGCCCCGGCTTGAGACTCCTGACACTACTCGTGATCACCAAGGTACCCATCAGGCAGGACTTGCTTACAAGGACGGAGCACTGGCTTTCCCACTGCTCGTGGTCAATGCTCGTCTAGGTGGCGACACCTTTTGGTCGCAGTTTTCCGCCATCACTCCGCCAACGCGGTGATGTGTGGTGACATCTTCGCTTACCTTTCATGTTTCCCTGCATGGTCTGCTCAAGTTGACCGGGCCGTATGGGCGCCCATGTGCTCTCAGCGTGGCGTCTTCCAGATTCGTGGGTCCGATTATGAAGGGCTGGGGGATGTGCTCGGTGGGAAGCGCTTGGCGGGACAACCATTGTTATATTTCTTCCAAGGTCCGACACGCCGGGCAGAACTGGGTTTGATTGAAGGTGATTTGCCTTTCCGAACATACCCAATTCGGGGCTCACCTGGAGATTTGCGGATTTCAGAGCAAAAGGGCGGAGACAACAAAAAGAAACCAACAGGAACAGCAGCTTCCAATTTTTTCGTCCGTCCCCATGCAAAGCCATGCAGGCAGTTTCCTTGCCTTGGCAGCGCCTTTCACAATTTGGATCGTGCGCTTGAGGCTGCTTGCAGGCCGGGTGCAAATACCATCAAAATCACACTCACAATAGGCCTCGTGCTTGAGCTGTGTGCTACTTGTCCTTTGACGCCTTTCTCTTCTCGTCAGGTAACCCCTGCCTGGATTTGCAAAGATGGTTGGACTTGAGGGCCGCAGTTTCTGAGCAAGGGCGCATTCTGTCTCTGGCATGGCTGAGAGTGCCTCGGCTTGCACTTTTGGAAAGCCTTGCTTTCTTCGAATTCGTTTGCATTATGCTTCCAGCGCCGAGGCACCAGATGCCAACTCCGCAGGCTGAGAAACTTTCCTTTCCACGTCAAGTGAAGCTTTTCGTCAACAGGTGAGTCTGTCAGGTGCCATCTTGATATCGACTCCTTTCATGGTCTGCTCCTGCTGTGCAACAACAGCTTCACGAGTGCGGGCGGGAATCTTAGCGTGCTCAGATTTTTGCTTAAGTTACATGAAGAGGTTTTGTGAGCTGAGGAGGCGCGTAAAGGAAGAAGAGGGTCGGCAAAACCGGACTGGTCATCCGTCTTGTAGTGGGCTGCCAGGTCCCAGCAGACGGATGGCACCACCCAGCGATTTATTTTCACAGTGCCTCGAAGCACGGAACACAGCAAATCTTCCCCAGAACGCGGAAAAGCTTGGGATTTCTCTTCACCGGATAGCAGGTTCCTCTCGGGCATCCTCAGAGCACCAAGTCTCGTGTGGCCGCTCGTGTGCGGGAAAAGGGGGGGGGGGGCGGGGGCGAGGATTCATCCTTCAAGAGGAAGATGCGGAAAGTGACCGTTGTGAACACTGATACTGAAGAAGCGCGGAGATGTGGTCCTGGCGCACGGTCCACAGGCATGACAGCTGATTGGCTCGTCAGAGTGGCGGCAGGTTCCGCCCTGCAGTGCCACCTAGCAAAGAGGGGCGGGAAATGACTCAGAAGAGAGAGGGAGAGAGAGGTGCAGGGGGCAACCCCTGTCCCTAACCCTGGCTGGCGGAAAAAAAGAGAGGTGTGCTCAGGGGTCCAGCAGGCAGCTCTACAGGGGGATGGAGCCATGGGGAGAGACTTCCGCCACGACCTCGCCAACTACATGGAGGGCCGGCCAGTTCTTCAGCCATGCCTACACGACTCGGCGGGACGCAGCTTCACCAGCCCAAGCTCCCCTGACCTGACCACTGGGAGGCTTGTTGTAGACTGGGATATAGGGCGCATATTGTGAGGGCAGGCAAAGCATTTCGAGGGAGCTGGGTTCGAAGGAGCTGCTGGGTCAAGGCTACCGAAAACATCCTCGCAGGGGGACAACTGGAGCCTGGAAAACAGATGTGTCTGTCGAATCTAGTGCGCCTGCCACACGAAACAGGCTTGTT